TCCATTACATTCACTTACGAGCTAATATTCTTGGGAAAGGTATGAATCCTCGTTTTCTCCAAAAAAAGTTATGGATAAATAGGACAGACTGGGTTCTATAGCCTTGGATGGCAACCTACCGAGGGAAAAATCTGCCTCGTCAGTCATATATTGATAGATAGATGATCGCCTAAACATGTATCACGCATGGCACATAACTGACTGATTAGCAATAGGTTACTCGTTTGTAGCGTTTTCGTTGTTGAACTAGAATATTTGTGGTGTTGGGAGGATATAGATGTGCATGAATGATAAATTGTAGTAGAGATATTGTCGTTGCATGATGTTTCTTTTTCGATAAGTCGGTAGCGAGATAATAGTAAAGCTTATAAAGGTGCCACCACAGAGAACGCGATACATAAGGTTAAAAATGAAAATTCTTTCTTAAAAAGCTTTTATTTTAGTTTTAATTTCAAGTTTCTGAAACGTTATTTGAAGAATATTAGCTAATTTAAACTATAATTGATCTGTTTTAAAACAACTTATTTCAAGTTTAAACTATCGCAGAAACGTATTTTTTAACCTGACAATAACTGTTTATTTAAGCTGTTGACGTGTTTGACAGCTTGATAATGAAATGAGACTCCTGGTTCGAGGGCTAAGTTCCTTTTGGACGGAGAAGGAGTTACAACATGTGACGACGACGACAACTTGTGGCTAAAGAGAGGGTTTGTCTCCTTTTCTTTTAGACTGCTTTACGGAGCAGGCGTTAAGAATGCCTGACAGTGTAAGGTAATTCCACATCATTTTTTACCTTGGCTTGACAAACATCGATCACTAAAGCTATAGAAATAGGCAAAGTATTTAGTCATCAATGATATCTCATTGACTTTTACGGACATAGCAAAAGTAAGATCAAGATCATCTAAAAAAAAAATAAATAAATAATTTGTTATATCAGTTACCTCCCTTTATTTTCAAAAGAAATAAACGCGAACTTGTATTTCATTCACCTGAACAAAAGGTAGACGTCCAAAAGATCGGGTTTATTTAGTATATCTTATCTAATTCAAATTAGTAATTGCTCCGAGACTTCATGAATTCAAGCGCCCTACGAGGCTGGCATCCCGCTCTCACCCTTTCATTGTAGAAACTTTTAAATATAGCCGTCTCTTCTACTCCAATAGCTTCATATCTCGCACCTCTCGCCTGTGGAACACCTTTCCCAATTACTGTTTCCCTGAGAGCTATAATCTCCAACTATTCAAATGTAATGTCAATCGACATCTCCAGTTACCTTGACCTATCCACTATCCCTCTCCTCATCCTTTCTTCTATCACTCCTATCCTGCTCTTGCTCCAAATCTTCTGCAACTCCCCTGCATCCTAGTGGCTTCCCGCCTTGCTCGAGGCGTAATGCTTAAAAAAAAAAAAAAAAAAAAATTGGTTAATGATTAATTAGTTTAAATTTTTGATTTTCGTAGATACATTTCGAATTAAGGATTTGGTTGATTGATTGTTTAGTGGTATATCAACACCTCTATGGGTCATTTAATGCCGAAATCTAAATATTTTGTACATAATTTTCTACTTTCAGGGTAAATTTATCCTTTTTAGATATGCAGTTTGTAGATCATAAAATGTATTTTAATATTTTTTAAATGTTGTATTGATTGTCACTTTGCTATAAAAATCTATTTTATTATAAATATTTACTGTTGATTTTTGTCTGGGGGACATTATTTGCCCATAGATGGGGCCCTAAAAAGTGTTGCCACCCTATGAGTTAAGGACAATGATCTCTTTTTGAATGAACCAAACAAACATTTTAGTAAAAAGTTATGCTTCAGTTTTGGGCATAAAGAAATCGATTACTTGCTGGTGGAAAACTGAGCAATGTTTCACTCTTTGCTCTCTTATCAACACCTTATAGTTATTTAGTTTGGATAAAAAAAAAAAAAAAAGGTACATTGATTTTCATTTTATTTTTTCCTTTTTCAGTAAATTCGACAAGGGAGCCATTTTGCAGAAAATTGGATGATTTTTAAATCATGACATGATTTATTAAAATGGAAAGAAAATAGGAAAAAAAATGCTTTTACACTTGGTGTCTGATTGCTTTTATCCGGGCAGAAAATGAACTCGGACACTGACCAATTATTCTGACGATTGCTGTCAGGTCCTCATTGGACACAAGATCGGACCGAACATCCTCGACACCATTGCTCAGCGCCGTGTTCGGTGGTTTGGTCACGTCCTGCGACAATCTGATGACTACCCGACCAGAGTAATCTACCAGTTCGACCAGCCATCTACAAACTAGCGATGACACACAGTGACAGACCAACACAGCCGCTTGAAGGACGTCGTTCGCCAGGACATCCCGCAGATTAGTGCTGGACGATGTTTCGACGTATGCAACTATGGCTATCTACAACTTCCTACCTTTTGTTGCTCTTAGGGATTTAGTCGTTTATTCGTTATATCTCATCTGATTCTCTTGCCCTTAATACATTCTGTCGGTGCTAAATTATCTAGGTTCTTTCCTCATTATATCCCACAATCTTTCGGATTTTAAATATCAGTTTGCTTATGGTTTTTATTTCCGTTAAAAGTGTATCGTTACTCACATAGAATTCCCAGCAACCTTCTGTAAAACTAAATCTCTAACGCTTCAAGTTTGTTTTTCATCTGTGAAGAGATTGCCTAACATTTATTACAAAGATAAAAATTCCACACTAAGAACATTTTCCTCTCTTATTATTTTGCTGAGTTTCTGAAAGGTAAATTTCGCTATTTCGATGCGCCATTGATTTTCTGTGGCAAGCTTTCCGTCTACCCAGATAAATTTCTCTACCTGCTCAATTTTGATGTCTCTGGTACCAAACTCACCTTTTGCTAATAACCATGCATTCTGCTTTCTTACAGTTAACAGTCGATGCTTTGTACATCGGCACTGAAATAATGAGGGCATTGAAGACATGCTTTTTAAGTTTGATAGAAATTTGGAATTAAATGTTACATTTTCTATATTAAAAACTCGAATTAAGCACATATCCTTATCCTAATTAGTACAGTCAAATATATATATATATATATATATATATATATATATAAGAAAGGCGTGTTGAAATCAACATTGCACGGTAACTATCAGTATCACACCTGGAACGGAATTCAGATTTTTTTTTTCTCACAGAGAACTTCGCCCCTGTACAAGTTTCGGTGTGGGGGGGGGGGCACCTAAGATACAAGGTTACGGTGTAAGAGACAGTTTATTTGGATATGCGTCGAAGATAGGCCTTGAATAGGTTAAGATTGTGGTGACCGGGGAAAAACCTCTTGAGAATTGGTTCCACAGAGCAAGAATCTGGTTAAGTGGAACTTATTTCTCACCAATGGAATACGGAGAGAATGAGAGTGGTTCGATTGAATTTGTAGTATGGCGGGTACTATTTCATCTGTTGATGCTTAATCAGGTTTCTGTATGTTTATTGGTCGAATTATAGATGATGTCATGCAAATTTTCCTTGCTGGCACAAGTACAAGTGTATGTTTTTTGCTAAATGTCACGTGACTTTTGGAGTACATAAAAATTAGTCAGTTGTGTGCCACGCGTAATGCACGCTTAGGCGATCATGTAACTTTCGATACGTGACTAACGAGACAGATTTTTTTCCCCGTAGTAAGTTGCCATTTCTTTCTGCGGTAGACCAAATGCCACCCAAGTCTATAGAACCCGGTCCTGTCCAGCTATTTACCCATAGCTGGGAGGAGAAGTAGAGGATTCATACCTTTCCCAAGGGTATTAGTACATAAGTGAATGTAATGGATTCGACTGGAATTCGAACTCGGCTCTCCGATTTCTCAGAATTCGAATGCCATACATAAAAATAAAATATTAATAAAATAAAGAACAACATCAGTACTCACAGAAAAAATGTATAGTTTTGTTGTTTTTTTTTTCTAATTTCAAGTTTATGAATTATTGTTTTGTAGTTCGTTCCATCTATCCCAGACATGCAAAATATATCTAAACAATTAGGTTTGTACCTGATATATTCTTTTCATTTGTTAAATGCCTTCTGGAAATTAATAATCAAAGAACGGTAGCGACAGACGCTCTAACTAGAATGCTCGAGTTCGGTTTATCTTGCGAAGAGTGATTTTTTTTTCAAGAAATTCCGACCGTATACCACCAACCAGTAAATAAAAACAGGATATCAATAAAATAAAAAGATAGGAAAAAAAAAACACTTCGTAATTGTGCGAAACTATAGTCTTATAAGAGTACGTCTCTCATTCGTTCTGGTGCTTTTGTACCATCGCAACCTAACCTCTTTCTGAACTCCCACTGCATCTCTGCTCGTTTTGTGTTGTCATAGCAACACAATGGCTACATCAGCAACAGATCAACAAAGCTCTGTGCCATTCATAGCGTTGTTCGATGCTACACACATTAAATGTGATTAACTGTCACTCGTAATTTCTTATTTTATTTCTGTTCATTTTTCTTTCTATCTTTAATTTTAATATTTAAGTTTTCCTTTCTCTTCGAATCTTTTTCCATTAATGCTTTCTTTTACACTTTTAATTAAGTCATCTTTTTTTTTCAGTTTCTTTAAAATACATTGAAAAAGAAATACTTCTTTTCCTATATTCCTTTCCATTGTTTGACATTGTTTTCGAATTCGTGATTTCAACTCCATTTTTTCTTATTTCTTTCGTTTCCTTAGTTTCAGCATGTTTAATTTTACCAAACTTTTAAAACAGCTTCCGTCGTTTTTTCTTTCTCCATATTTCATTGCTTTTTTTTTTCATTTAATTATTTTCTAGTTTCTTGTGCATATTTCTTTGTTTCGTTTAATTTTATCTCCCAATTCTCATTCTTCTCCCCTCGAGAGATTTGATCGTGAGGACGGCAGGATCGCCCCTATCTCTATGGGCAGAATACGCCGATTACTTCAATGTTTAACGTCTTTCGCCGCGTTTGTTTTCCGTCTTTTGTTTGTTATTCTTTATTAGAGAGAGAGAGAGAGTGAGTGAGAGAGTGAGATCGTAGTCATCTCAGACATGATAACGACTTTGCATGCATCAACGTATGCTTGTTGCTTCTGGCCGACAACACAAGATGAATGTGGTTCACTGATACCTTTCTCGCATAAAAAGAAAAGGGAGAGAGGGAGGGAGAAAAGGAGTAGAAAAGAAAGGGGAGGGAGGGGGAAGGAAGGAAGGGAGAAAAGGAGTAGAAAAGAAAGGGAGGGAGGGAGGAAGGAAGGGAGAAAAGGAGTAGAAAAGAAAGGGGAGAGAGAGGGAGGAGAAAAGGAGTAGAAAAGAAAGGGGGGAGAGAGGGAGGAGAAAAGGAGTAGAAAAGAAAGGGGGAGAGAGGGAGGGAGAAAAGGAGTAGAAAGGGGAGGAAGGGAGAAAAGGAGTAGAAAGAAAGGGGAGGGAGGGACAAAGAAAAGGAGAGGGACAAAAGAAAAGGGGAGGGACAAAAGAAAAGGAGGGGGAAGGAGGGAGAAAAGGAGCAGAAAAGAAAAGGAAGGGAGGGAGAAAAGGAGCAGAAAAGGAAGGAAGGGAGGGAGAAAAGGAGTAGAAAAGAAAAGGAAGGGAAAAAGGAGTAGAAAAAGAAAAGGGAGGAAGGAAAAAGGGGGCGAAAAAGAAAGGGGAGGAGGGAAAAAGGGGGCGAAAAAGAAAAGGGAGAAAGAAAAGACAAAACGTAGAAAGTAAGGATAATATCTTTGAGGAAGGTAAAAAGCAAGAATCTGGATCGATAAAGAAAGAAATCGAGGGGGAAGGGGTAGAGAAAAAAAAAAAACGAAATTAAAAAGAATCACCATTCTTCTATGTGCTGTCTCTTCAAGACATTAAAGATAATGTCTCTCCACACCCTCTTGTCATTTGTAGCTCTTAAATTTTCTATTTTTATTATCTCTCCTCAACTTTGTTCCGTCATCCATTGACTAAAGTTCGCTAATTAGGTTATGCGTTGTTTTCCGCTGTTCCTCTTGCCTTCAATATCATATGAGTATCAAACTTTCCAAGCCCTCTATCCTCATTACGTACCCGAGAAATTTTAACTATGTTTTCCTGTTGTTAAGTATAAGTGTCGCTTTTATTTTCTATAAAACTCCGTCGTTGCTCACACGTTCGATTTAATATTCTCAACATCCTTCTGTGGAACTACATTGGTTGCTTCAAGTTTATTAGTCTATGAGATTATTCAGCATTCGCTGCCATATAGGACGATTGACATCACGTAACAATTCAGTACCCTTTGTTTCTTACGATTTTTTTCTGTTTCTTAATACACAGGAATCCTCCGATTAGTGCGACTAATGTGTACATTCAAAGATACACAATCAAATATAAACAAAAATTGAAAAACAAAATAGTTGCCCATTCTTAAATTTTGGAAAAATTTTAATTAACCGGTAACTATATATATATATATATATATATATATATATATATGAAATTTAAAAAAAAACAAAAACAATTTTCAATTATTATGGTTAAGCTGAAAAAATGTTTTACCGTACTAATCGCGTATTAGGCATGCACGACTTTTTTGCTATCCCAATGCGCTTTCAAATTTCAGTCTAGCACATTCTGTCCTTTGTTAAAATACTTCCAAGAAAGATAATAATGAACAGTAATTCTTTGAATTTGAAGAAAATATAGGAAAGATTTCGGAGAATTAGAAGAAAGATACAAATGCGAAAAGGGTGTAGTAAAAAGACGTTGAGGAAGGTGTGATTAATCGATTTGTATTTTTTTTTTTAAGACTTATCAACCTTTTGCATTTAAACTAGAAAATGTGTCTAGATTGGAACAATGTTTTGAAGATAAGAATGATTTACTGACACAAGTCCTAATTAACCCATAGCTGGGAGGAGAAGAGGTGGATTTATACCTTTCTCAAGGGTGTTTGCGCATATATACCGAAGCTGATTGGAATTGGAACTCGGCACTCCGGAGAACGGTTTGTGAAGCAAACAAAAGGTTTGATATAGTAGAAAGGAGGAAACATGAAGGGGGAAGACAAGTGATAAAAGAAGTAGTAGTAGTAGTAGTAGCAGCAGCAGCTAGAATAAGTGCCGTTACAATTCGAAAACGTTTTATGAAGAACTACACTTCTCTCGCAATTGTTAAGATAAGCATAATGAATGTGCGCGTAGCATTTACCAACACGGAAAGTGAAACAGGCTTGCCGTGTTCGAATTCCAATCGAATTCGTTGAGCTCACTTTCGCACAAATGCCCTTGGGGAAGGTATGAATCCATTTCTTCTCCCCCCCCCGCTCTGGGATAAAAAGCAGGGCAGACTTGGCTCGTTGGTCCTGATTCTCATCGCCAGTCGATGGAAAGAACAATTTCACTTCTATTCGAGATGGAACGTTCATAGTAATCTCAGAGATAATAACGGCTGGGAATGTAGCTGTAAAGTTCATGCCTATAAAATCTTACTCACTACAAAACCCAAAGTAGCAACCTCTCCCGTTTCCAGTCTGTGGCCTTCCAATCCATAGGGAAGTCTTACGGAACTATGGAGAAGTACGTACGTACGTACGTACGTATGTATGTATGTAATTCCAAAAGTTATACTTTCTATATCATTGCTGGCCATGATGTAAGATGTAGACGTTGGTGGCATAGTAGAGTTAACACCCCTAACAAAACAAAAAAAAATTATTGCCTCCTTACAGACAGCAGCCAGACAAAACGACATCTGACATGAAAGTATGTACAAAGATATTTCACGCAGAAAAAGTACACTCACTGATATTCATCGACGTTTGCTGATTATATACAGAAACCAAAGAGTCGATGTGAACACAGTGGGTAATGTGTTTCAGTTGTGGTAACAGCGACGTACGTGACGTTTATCAGAGCAGAATACAGGCACATTTGTTCATCGGTAGCTAAAAGGCACGAACAATAATGGTGACGATATGGAGATAAAAAAATAAATTAGTTGAAAATGTTCTCCCTATCAAAATGTTATTACGTTCCTATATATATATATATATATATATATATATATATATATATATATATATATATATATATATATATAGGAGTTTACGTGACATTTTTTTTAACCTACTTTATATATTATCAGCCATTAGCAGTTTGATGCAGACCTAAAAACTCTCAAGACTTCAATGATTTCCAGGATTCTGCTGTTCACTCCAACGTCTTTCAAGTAAAAACTATTTCATTTCTACGCATTTTCCTACCACACTGGTTACCCACTGAGTACTAATCAAGCAAATTTTTACTTATCTATTATCTTTTCTGATAAAATACATGAAGCATTCTGAAGAGAAAGGTTTACACACAGCAATTAACTCGCAAAGACACGTTGGAATGTTATTCTGGATGCCGTCCTGTCATTTTTTTTATATACTAATATTCATCCAATACTAGGCCCAAGAACCACCCAAGGCAAAGGATTACAGCGTGGTTTTACTGTTATGTCAGTATAAGAAAAGGCAAGAAGTGAAGCTCATGGGGTCATGCAGAAAAGATAACGATTAACACTAGACTATAAAAAGGTCAAGATTGTAGTGACACATGTAATGATACACCCTGTCGTGGGTCTGTTCCACAAAGCATGCAACAGCTTCCAAAATCAATAGATGAAGGTCTTTAAGCTAGCTTCAGAATATAAAGCATGCATTTCACATTAATGTCATGCTTATAAGTAACATTTCAATGACACTATTTTCGATATTATTTTTATTCCAAACAATTATTATTGACCACTTTGCATACGTTCTGAATTCATAATATTTTTCTTTAACGTTTCTTGGAGTTTCGATAATCAGGCAAATGGTGTAAAACATGAATTCTTTCAGAATCATGAAACTATTGACATATCGCAAGAGCGGCATATACTTTACGATAATTTACACACATGTGAAGTATCCTGCAAGATAGAGAACCGGGCGGTAGGCGAACTTGTCTATTGAACAGGAGTAGAGGTTTATTTCTTGTTTCCCGTTCCTTCTAAAGTCATTTTCTTTTACTCCCAGTACCACTTTGCGTCTTAGTGGCATTATCACATTGCTTGGGGTGAAATGATTAAAAAAAAATTTCTCGAGTTGCTTTATTTTTTGTAAAGAAAAAAAAGGAGGAAAATAAATGACTAATAATGAAAGAAAGTGCCTATTACACACAAAAGAATCTTGAAAGGATCTCAGTCCAACCTACGAGCAACATTTCAATGACCAAATATTCTTTTATGTGCCGAGTCTCTTCAGAACGTAGGTGATCAAGGGCCTCCACATCTTCCTGTCCCTTGTAGAACTTAAGCTTTGTCCGTGTTATTTCTCCCAAACCTTGTTCTACTATCCATTTACTGAAGCTCATCAACATATTTCTCGCCGTCTTCCTCTGTCCCTCAAACTGTCCTATGGGTATCAGGTTTTCCAAGCCCTCCTTCCTCATTTACTTGCCTTCAACATTTCAACTGCCTCTTCCTGATGGTAAACATAAGTTTCTTTTTGTTTCCATTCTCTTCAAAACCTCGTTGTTGCTCACATGTTCGGCCCATGGTATTTTCAGCATCTTTCTGTTGCTTCAAGTCTCTTCATCTTTAAGGAGACTGACAGACAAGGGAACAGATATCACCGAACAGTTCATTACAATTTTCTTTGTTTCTAATGAATTTTTTCTGGCACTTAATACTCTGCTCACCTTTTGCAATGCACATTTGGTCATTCTAATAAGTCTTCGCATCTCAGTGTCGCACTCTCCATCCTTTATCAGAACACTTCCCAGGTATTTAAATTTCTGTACTTGTTGGATTTTTGTGTCCCAGATTTGTAATTTGCATTTTGGGCTCATCCCTTTGCCGATAACCATGCATGAGTGAGCCAAGAACCTTTCATCATATAATCGTATATGACAGGAGGAAAAGTCTATTAAAATATTATTTGCTAATACACATATTTAATGTTTGTAAGAAATGTCTTCGATCACTATTTACTATGTTTCAAAAAATATAATTACCAACCTGAATTTCAAATATGGCGCCACATTAAAGCCACTGACTGGTTTGTTTTCAGGTTATTTAAGGCCAGAAAATATTTTTAGATTCTAAGAATTTTTTCGGAGGAGGAGGGGAGATAATGATACAAGCTTTACTAATTAACCCATAGCTAGTAGAAGAGGTGAACTCGTAGCGTTTCCAAGGATATTTGCGCGTAAATGAATATAACGAACTGGAGCTCGACTATTAAAAATTCCAAGCCATTATCTATTATACCACCCACGCATCCACGCTTATAGCACCTGTTATTCCTAAGCCGTCAACCATCTAGGTACTGATCAGGCTCGACGTTGCTTAACTTAGGTGATCGTACAGGAACAGGTATTTCAATGTGATGAGGTTGTAAGCATGCTAAAGTAATTGTTGTGTTACATCGCCAACAATAACATTAAATTATTTGCATTGGTCATACAACCATCACACTCACTCGTAGATTAACTTGCCCTTTACCGAAACTTAAAACAATTCGTGCCCATATCGATCATCACATCCCAAATATATAATATACGACTATTAAAGCAAATAATAGTAGATAATACTAAAATGCATTGTAAAGAAACACTCAAAATACTCGAACCGATCATTATGTAAAAAAACAACACATTAAATATCTGATGGAGACGGCATGTTAAAAATGAATATAACTAATTTAATATTTTTATCCGTTACTATAATCAAGCCATGTGAAACTATTCAACATTTGATACTATGAATATTCAAATTTTAATGTTGCCTTTCTAAAAATGTAATTTCCTCTATGACGCTGGCAACAGTAGTTTTTCTGATAATGACTAAAGATATTCGAATGTGTTCGAATGAAAACATTAACTTCAGTCACCTGAACGGATGTAGTTGGAGGGTCGTTGTACAGCTGAGTACCTAACCAATTCTCTCTACATATCTGGGTGAAAAAAACCAACCTCTAAGGATAAGTTGATTGTCGTAAATCACATGAATTATTCAAGCTCGATACTTGAAGAGTGTCTGTATGTCTCTGTGCGTGTTTGTTTTATATACATCTATATCAGAGACATTTAGTAGTGTAGGATTTGAATTCAGGGACTTATTTCTTGTATACACATACATTCTTACAAACGTGCCTACATAATTATATATACATATACAGTTCAAAAGTTTGAAGCCATCCCCAGAATTAGCATGGGATGAACTTGACAGAAGAGTAAAAAAAAAAAAAAAAAACAAACAATGAAAAAGAGCTCTTAAAGTCACTGACAAGCTTCTAATTTGAGAAAATGTTTGCAATGAATGCCAAAAGTTTGTGCTGCAATAATCAAGGCGAAAGGAGAATATTTTGACCAGAGAAAAATTTAAGCAGAAAATGCATTTGTTTTTGTAATAATAATATTTCGAATAAAAAAAAAAAAAAAAAAATCATGTCTCACTTTTTTTTTAACCATATAATTTTCTCTTATTTAAAGTACAACACAACTACTTTTGGGGTAAATTTAAATACCAGGGGAGGCCTCAAACTTTTGAACTGTAATGTATATATATATATATATATATATATATCAGTGAAACTTTCTCAATTCAACTCCTTCCAAAATCTGTCTAAAAGACCACCCATTTTTATCTGTTTTCGCAAAAGGTATGAGCGGATATATATATATATATATATATATATATATATATATATATATATATATATATAACAAAAAAAAAAGCTAGTAAACGGTGGTTTGATGCAATTCTGGCAGCTCAAACTGACTGGGTATCAATTAATAATTTATCTTTTGTTATATGTACACAGTCAGAACGAATAATGCACTTTGGATTATAGAAAAATGTCGGCAAGTAAAACTCTGCATTCAAACTTGCTGTTCTCGGCAGCAGATTACAATGTATGAAACAAGAATAAATGTATAATATTCTTAGTTATGCGGCAAACGTTTGTTTCCAATGTTACATTAGCCTCTCTTGTTACGAACATTCGAAAACAACAAGAATGAAAACCTGAGGCATTTCAAACTTTTTAACAGCGAAGAAGAGTAAAAAAAATCAGAAAATTTTCCTTTCTCTAACGGTCCGATTTGCTCGGATTGTTAAAACAAAGGTCTTTCATGAAAGAAAATCTGTAAACTGGAACAACAGCAAAGCAAAAGGTTTTTCTTCTTACTGGTGTCTTGAATGTGTTATACCTGTAGTACTATTCATAATTCAAAAGATAAAGTCATTAATCAGAACGAGTATAAACCGAAATAAAACAGCAGTAAAAGATGGCGATGCATGTGTATGATCTCATTCTATGTTAGAAGAGAGAATTTAAAATGCATTCTCTTCAATTTAAAATGAAAGCAACATCTTATTTTTTGCTGAACCCGATTTAACCCACGCAAATTTGAAAAAAAAAAACAAAAAACAAAACAAAAACAAAAAACAAACAGGAATGTTCGTTTTATATATGCAAGTTCGTGAATTCACTTAATTGAACACACGTTTAAATATTGTATAAATAGGTTATTTTTAACCAGTTTTCTCTGAATAAGTATGTAGTTTGATAACGACAAAATCAATATTTGCACTAGTGCATTCAGATAGGTTCATATCTTTTGTTGAATGCATAAAACAGAATCCAGAAATCAGTTTTTCTTTCTTATTTGTCATCTCTAAATATTATAGAAAATTGACTGGCTTTTTACGAGAAACAAATGGCGGAATCAGGTATAACTTTATTGAAATTTCAAAGATAGCATGAATCTAAAATAGAATTATTTAAGTGTTTGAAAACCAATGTATTCACTTAGCAGCATGGTTGTTGAAGACAGAGCCTTTGCACAGAAATCAATTTGATACCTCTAGGTAAAATCCAAAGCGAACGGTAGCTTGTATTTTCTACTTGAATATGCAAGAAATATATTGTTAAATTTCAAGTGTATAGAAATCTTGGGGAAAAATTATTATATTATGTTTAAAAAAAGAGGAAAGAAAAAGAAAGTTTTATGCTGAGACCTGGCATTCTCTGATTAGACTAAATAGATTTTTTAATAATTTTTTCTATAACTTTAATGGGAAAAGTAACAAAGCATTTCCAATTTACATGAACAGTCATCAAGTTCATGTCACACCATATTGTCTTTTATTAAGGGAAAAAAAAAAAAAAAGAAATCAAAAGAAAAAAAAAATAGTACCCTTCTTTCAAAAGTCTACGATTAATTGTAAAAAAAATATATTATACCTGCAGCAAATACAATAAAACTTATCAGTCACAAGTTCCATAGAAAACAAACCATTAATCTCTAGATATTTTCATAAACTTGACGTTTTATTTGAAACTTCACTTTTTTTTTCGAGAATAAAGAGTAAGTTAATATAAAAAAAACAAGTCATCTATAATTTTCGAATATCTTTTTTATTTCAAAATCAGACAAATGAAATATTTTTTACAGGTATTGAAATAGCCTTCCCATCCCAACATTTTAACAATTGGTGAAAACAGAACCGGACATGTGTATATGTTTGAGAGATAACAACAGTCATTATTTATATGCCTTCACATGATGGCAAACTTGACACAGGGTCGGTACGTGAGTATTGAGGTAAAAATTGTTAAATTTCCGAGGTACCGTAGCTTAAAAAAATAAATAAATAAAAAACTTGCTACTACTCAGGTAGGATTGCGGTTCTCTTTTATTTCTATGTCTACTTATCATGGGGTCGCATATCGTAGTGTCGGACTTTGTTTTACTGACTCCTTTACAGTAGCGAGTTCGATCATCATTGAGGTACCACTTATTGTATTGCGTGTCAGCCTAAGTTTAGTGTGTATTTAGATCACGAGAGCGTGAATCTTAAATGACGAATCTCGATCGTTGAGAATTGATCATGTGAAGCGTTGTGTGTTCTTTATGGAGAGACTTGGCATTGAGCACTGTTATTTATTGTTGTGGCTGGTGCTTGCCTTTTGGTCTTTGTTTAACTTGAACTGTTTTTCAGGTCTTGTTTTTTTTAGGTCTTCTGGTAGATAGTCTTGATCACACCAATAGTTCTGGATTTTTCTAGTGTGTATATATATATATATATATATATATATATATATATACATATACACACACACATACATACAAGTGGAACCAACGGACAAATTGCCAAAAGACCTAAATACCCTTAAAAAGACAAAATGTCGAACAAAGACAGCAATAAGAACAAAGGAAAAGAGATAAAGCAAACACCTACCTTGTCAGTAAAGTGCACAATGCCTAGATTACGGAGACAGAAAAACGCTTGATGACGTTAATTCTTATGAAAGGATGACCATAGCTGTAACCAGTCTCACATGATCTTCAGATGATATATATATATATATATATATATATATATATATATATATATATATATATTAGTGGACACTGAAGTCATCGAATATTGAGCTTTTCATGCTTGAACGCAATCTTCAGGCCATATATGATAAAATAGACTATCCCAATAATGTACATAAAATTGGATTTGTGAAAAGCAGTAATATATTTAGATATTTTATGATATTAACGTTTCGTTCAATAATAACAGTACAACAACTGTAGAAATTAAGAAATAACTAAAAATAAACAAACATTACCATGTCAAACTTACTACTTATAAACGATTTCGTTAATTTTGAAATTTTTTAGAAAATTAAAATTGAAAATATTGAATAAAAAGAAGAAATGCGAAGAAATCAAGGAGATTCGTCCAGAGAAAAATGTTACAATAAACGTAAAGTATAATTTGTTTCAGGAAAATAAATGAAGGCTGTGGTAAAACAATAAATCGAAATAAATATCTCTGAACGAATCTATTTTATTCACAAGTTTGATTTTAATTTATCAACTGTTAAATTTTCACAAAAATTCAAATTTGCCACAGCGTTTCTAAGTTATTTTCATGATCTTACTTATTATAAAACGCAGGTTGTGTGTGTGTGTGTGTGTGTGTGTGTGTGTAACGTTTATATGTTGGATCGAATTTCCTACATTTTTTAGCCGATTTCAACAAAACTTCACAGGACTACATAAAATTACCTTGTGGTGGTTCTAACGGGGCCGAAAATGGGAAAAATACAGTTGTTTTTTAATAAAATCAATTTGAAAACACGATTAAGACACATCGTGAGAATGAAAGGGGAGAAATCACCCACGAAAATGTAAACAAAAGAGCATAGCATGATGAAAAAAGACGCCGAACTTGATGAAAACAAATTTTATCGTCTAATGTTCATATTATTATTAAAGAGGAAAGATCAAAGTATTTTGGGGGTTTTTTTTACATTTTTAATCGTTCCTAGCACGTCTGAAATTTTCGTTAAAAATATTTTTTTTTTTTGGTCAAAAAATG